CCCAATGTAAGAATGGGTTCTAGGAATATTTCTATCGCCCACCGGGCCAATTCACACGCATCAGATCACAAAGATGTAGGTTGGAGGATGTTTCATGATGCCTAACTATTCTAGGGCACTAGACTAGAGGAAAAAATTGAATTACCTTTCTATTTTCTCCATAGAAGATAACATTTCAAAAATCATTGTCATATGAAGAGGAAATCAAAATATACAGCCCAAAATATGTAGGGAAAAAAGTAATACAGGGTTGTGTCAGGTAGTTAATTAATAGAGATTTGTTATTTATTTGGATTTTGTGATGTTTATAGTATTTTCAACTTTTTAAAGTTTATTGATTCTATTGATGATTTTAAATAAGTATTTGCTTTCATAAATAATTTTGCATCCATAGTTTTATATTCTTTTATTAAGTAAGGTCCCCACATTATATAAGCTTCAATTTTCCTACAATCTGGATTTGGCCCTGACCCTACTTAATCACCGTTCCACATTTAATAGGTAAGAGAACTGAGACCCAAAATCACATCGTTTACAGCACTACTGAACTAAACCCCGGATCCTCTGACTTTCTGTCCATTGCTATTTCTACTACCCTACATTACCTTTTGAGAAGTACCTTGAAAATCAAAGATCTTCACAGAAAAAAAAGAAACAAATAAAAAAGATCTCCTGACCACTGTATATAATAATAGTAAATATTTATATAGCATTTCTTATATGTGAGGCATTGTTTTACAGTGCTTTACATATAGCTCATTTAACCTTCAAAACAACTCTATGACCAAGCTAATATCAAGATCCTCTCTTCAGATGACAAAAATCAAGACATAGAACAGTTAAGTAACTAGACCGAGTCACACAGTATGTGTAACATCCTTTGTATTGTGGCAGCTAGCAGCAAACATTTTCTGAGGGCTTGCAATGTTCTAGTCACTTTGCTGAACACTAAAGTGCATTAATCTCATTCAATCTTCACAATCACTCTTTGAGGAGGTAGCATTATTACTCAGTCTTACAGATGAGGAAACTGAAGCCTAAAGACAGTAAGTAACTTGCCCAAGGTCATATATCTAGTAAGGGGCAAAGTCAGTGCTCAAATCCATACCTGACTAGAAAGAAACACTCTCATGGTCCTTCTTCTATTGCCACATTCCCCTTGGTCCCTTTCTTCTAAAGCTACAATTAGAATGGGGATGCGGGCAGACTTAGAATAAGGAGTGGGGTGAAGAGTGTAAAGGACATAATAGTCCCTTCTTAGACAACTGTCCTTCCCATTTTGTACACACACATGCACACACACACACACACACACACGTGTCAGGGTACCTAGCTATCCATCATGATATTCCTTTTTTAAATATATGTTTTTATTGAAGTATAGTTGATTTACATATCATGATAATCTTTACATCTGACCCCTTTCCTCAACGTTTGCTATAGCCAAGAGATGACGTTTCTTTTCCATTCATATTCTATAATAAAGTTAAGAGGGACAGTCAGCAGATCAGTAATTTAGGTATTTAGGTGCTAGAGAAAGTTTATAGAGGTGGCGAATCCTTACAAGGATCAAGAAGATAATGTAAATAAAGTGGCAAAATAGAACCCCAAAGAGTGACAGAGATGTTGGTAAACTAGAAAGTGCATGTCCAAACCCAAATAGCAGGTACTGGGTTCCAGCAGATGGTTGCCATGTGGCAGTATGAGTCCAGTGTGATCAGATCTGACAAATTTTCAAGAGACGCCAGAAATCTAGAGTGGGGGGGGGGCGCAAAATATCCTAAATTATAAATATTTAAAGTAATTCAATGTTTAAAAAGCACTGTGCTGGCTAACATCTTGCAGGCCAAACAAACAACAACAAACCCACGTCTGAGGGCCTCGCTCGCCTTTGCAGTCTGCTTTACATGGGGTTAAATGCAGGAAACTCTGAAATAGGAAGTTAAAAGAGAAAGCCGACAAAAATTTGGATGTTGGTGGAATATTTGTTCTTTGAAAAATGAGCTTTAGTAAGAATAATTTTCTCGGTGGAGGTGGGCGATGGAGGGGGTGGGATGGGAATGGGCACTCAAGCAGTGGCCTTTTTGGATCAGATCCTCTTAATTTCTCCTTTGGAGTAGTATTGGTCTTGGACCACAGGAATCTAATTAACAGCTCAAAGGGAGCAATAATTGTGTGAAGTACAAATTCCTTTGTGCACAAAACAAATTACAATATTTGCAAATTTGTAAATAATGCAGTACTTTCCCTGAAATCCAAAGGCTTTGGGTGCTCCCAAGGGAAAGAAAAAGAAGTCTGAGGAGGCAAAATGTTAGAAAATGACCTATTGTCTCAAGAAACGGAATTTAAAAAATATCTTCAGTAATTGATTTTTTTCAATCGAATCCTTATTTAGGAACTATAAATGGGCCTGTTCTTAGGTCAGTAGAATGAGAATATCTAGAGAAATAAACAGTTTCAAATCCAAAAGTCACAGCACGTTACTAACAGGGTATCTTCTTTCAAAAGCACCGAGCATTAAAATGTGCCTCAGCCCTCCCTCCCTACACCCTTGGTTTGTGGTAGAAACTTTCATTTTATAAAAGAGATAGCAAGTCCCAGTTATGATCATTATGTACAATGTCAGAGAAGGAATTGGTGACAGATAAGGACACGAATCCAATCTCTCTGCTTTGCAAAATAGTTGTTTTGAGCCATTCAATTCACAAATATGTATTGGGATCCTTTTATAAGTTCCTGTAGCTGTTATTAGAGATTCAAAAGAGATGTTCTAGAAGAACTTATGGTGTACTGAGGAAAGTCAGAGTGAAAACTCCTTATTTTCTCCAAGATTTTTTAAGCACTTCTCTTCAAGTTGGTTGAGCTAGGAGTTGGGAGTGGATAAGTGAATGGAGTCCATCCCTGCCCTTAAGGCGTTCACCAGTCTAATGAGAACATAGAATTTGAACCAATCATTTCAGTATTGAGCTTGATGCTAAGGAAGAGCTATAGGAAAGCACTTTGGATGCTTTGGCAAGCGCTTATTTCTACCGGGAGATCTTTCAAAGAGAAAGAGATGGAGGGCATTCAAAGTAGAGGTAAGTGGACTATTGACTGGCCTTCTATAAGAGGATGACAGATCAGATTTGTGCTTTCAAATGATTCTCTCCCCTGTGCTCTTATTCACTGTGAGTTGGTTGCAAATTGGTTAAACCTTTCCACAAAATCTTTTAGCAAATTGCATCAAAAGCCTTAAAACATATTCATATCCTTTAGGTTAGAAATTCCATATCTAGGAATAAAAGATGCTGCCAGAAACTTACATATGAGGAAGCTTATCAGAGCATTATTATTTATAATCATGAGAAACTGGAAACAACCTACATGTTCCATAGTGGAGTAATGGTTAAATAATTTACGGTACATCCAAGCCATGTGATTTTATGCACAACTAGGAAAAATAAGTCACATTAAAAAAATAGTTCAAAACAAGCAAAAACTATTTTTAAATGATGTGAAATGTTTCATTCTCATTTTGTAATTAAAAAATTAAGAAGTAGTGCTCCACATTGGTTGTTAATTTTCACCCAGATCTTACTTTCCTAAAGTTCTTTCTTGTTTTAGATCAACCACACAACAAAAGGGGCGGAGTTTTTCCTTGCTCTGTACAAAGTTCAAAGAATGGGCTTTTGTTTCCTTCCCTCTTAACTAACAATGCGATCCAGGATTTGCAAGTCACTTATTCTCTAAGTTACAGTCTCCTTCTGGTATCCAGGCTAGCTGGGAAAGAAAGGGAGGTCAGGTGAGGAATGGAAGAGAAAGGAAGTGTCCAGAAGTTGAACATTACCGTGAGAGGGGAGAAGAAGGATGATGGGACTGAGGGTGTGAGAACCAGAAGAAAGAGTGGTCATTGTGTATTGAGAATGAGTTACTGGATTGGAGATTTCAGGGGTGGGACACAGACACATATACCGTGGTTCAATAGAAGAAATGTTACAGTGCAGTACATGGTTGACTGCCAAATAAATGACAGTATAGACAATGTTATAACAGTTTGGAGGATTTGGTGGAGAGGGCCATCATTTGGTCACATACATGTATATGACCATGGATCAATGAAGAGATTCCTCTAAAACCTCCTTTTAGCAATTTTTGTTAGACGGTATAACTGTATAGGGCTGGCCTCTCTTGGCCTCCCTCTTGAGAGATTTAGTTATGGAAGAACTTAAAGGACTGCACTGTGAAAGAATTTTAGCTATTAAATAGAAGGAAAGGATATAAAAAGTATATGATAGAAAATAATTTGAAGTTAAAATACTGTTTGAGAAAACTCAGTCTCTGCACAAAAATTCACTTCATCCTTCAATTTCTCCTTTCCTTTAAAATGTATTCACATAAAATCTGCTTTACAAGCCAGGAACATAACTCAAGATATTTACCATTAAATGGGGACACCTATGTGTTTCAGTTCTTAGGACAACTGAGACCTCCTTTCTCCCTGGATTTCTTGGTTCTCTGCGTTGAAGTGTACGTAGTAATTTCTCCCTTTGCTGAATCTTCTTGCTTTTACAGTTTCTTCTAACTGCATGTTATACACCTTCCCCATGCCATTGCTATTCTAGGCTCTATAAATCTGCACAGCACCAAGAGAACTTTAGCTATCACTAGTTAAATGGGTCAACACATTTACCCAACCACATAACTTAGACCCTTTGGGGGTTTTCCAGTCTATTTTAATCTATTTAAACCTGACACTGGCAGATTTCCATTTCCTTTGTTCCTTGTGTAGACTTGGTTTATGCCTGTTGGTCTCTAAAAGGGACAGAGAGGAGGCAGCTGTCGAAAAATGAGGAGATTGGCAGTTTTAACCACACAATTTGGTCTAATAGCTTTGATATGCTAAACTTGCTAGCTCCTCCAAGTGTACCTTTCTGATTTTGCATCACAACACTACACTGAATCCCTAAGGAAACCAGGGTAGTTTTTTAAAAAGAAAGGGAAGAAAAGAAAGAAATGCAAACCAGTGAAACCGTTCTTTTAAACCATCTCCACAGATTCATTCTGCCAACTGCAGGCCTTCACAAATCCTCGTACACCAGAGACCTTTAAAGAGAAGCAGAGAATACCGATCGTGTTCTCAACAGCGAAAACAGGTGATGTCATAACGCACAGTCCTATGTGGTCCCGGCCAAGGCCGGGTGGGGAGCTGGGGCGCCAGTGCGCACGGAGCTCCGCGCCAGTGGGCAGAGCAAGTTATCTCCGGGGTCCGGAGGACACCGGTGAGGACCGGGCACCAATCAGGTTCTCGCTCGGAGCCTGCCTTTGTTCTCACTGGGGAGCAGGTTTCCGGGTGTCTCGCGTCGGGAACCAGCATTCGACTAGCACGCGCGCTGCTAGCTCCTCGGGAGACCTCGCTCCCCCACTCGCCTGTCCCCCACACCCCGCCAGCCTGAGCTTTCCCCAATTACATCTGCCTTCTCTCCCCAGAGCGTGAACGCCAAAGTCCTAAATCCATTTTTAGCTTCGGAAGAGGCAGGTCCAGCCCAACAGTTTTAAATGGCAATTTGTTCTCTGAACCTTCGCTCCCAGGCAGAGCTCCATGCTCTGCGTTTATCTAACCAGCTACCTCAGAAGGACTTTTGGGTGGAAGACAACCCTGTCTCTTTGGCCTTTTCGTGTTGGACAAATAAAGGAATTTTCGTTGCTTAGAGACTGCGAGAAGGGGCTTTAGATGGAGGAGGAAACCACTCACCCACAGGTTTTGTGTCTTTTCTTCCCTCTAACTCGATTATTGGTGCAAATATACTTAAACATCTATCCCCTACCCGCTGCCGAAGCCTCAGGTAACTGGTCTTTTGCAAAACAGGGCTCACGATAAATGATGCATAAAGTTCTTTGAGATCCTTGGATGCAAAGTGCTACGTGATTGCAGTCTTCTTTACAGCTAAGATTTTGGTTAAGAGAAAGCCTAACCACTGCCCTGACGGTAAGGACGTTTTAGCTCCCCCCACCCCCACCCTCTTTCTCAAGAAATCAGGAAATATTTAGCTCAGTCTTAGACCCACTAGCGAGCTCTAGCTCCCAGTTACTTATCTCATTCCCTCACCATTTCTGCAGAGACCTAGAGCAGGGGCTGTGCCCTGTCTTAGGGGAGGGGCTGGACTTCACGGGGTTATTTGCATATGACACACCCTCTTCGTCCTATTGGTGGAGCAGCACACTGTATTCCCACCCACTCCACTACCTAACTAACCCGCCATCTCCCTTCAGTTCGGAGCCTCGGAGACAAACTTAACTTGCCCAGAGATTCAAGGCGTCTTCGGCCTCTCTGATTGGCCGGTGCAGCTCCCAGCCGGGCTCTAGTTGCTCATTGGCTGTGGGCTAGCGCCCGGGGGGCGTGGCTGGAGCGGTCCGATTGGCGGGAGGGGGCGGTGCCCGAGCGTGGAGGTGGTGAAGGTGGTGGGGAGGCGGGGGCGGGGCCGCACTGAGGCGCTGCTGCTGCGGCGGCGGCGGCGGCGGCGGTGGCGGCGGCGACGGCGGCGGCAGCGGTGGCGGCTGCTCGTCCTAGCCTGGCGGGGGCGGGGGTCTGGAGGATGGGGGCGGGTGGAACAACGGGCCGGTGAGGAGCAGCCGCCACCGTCTCCGCCGTCGCTTCGGTAGCCGCCGCGGTGGTCGCTTCGGGCAGCCGTTCGCTCTCGGGGCGTCGCCTCCCATCCCGACATCCCGCCCGGAGGACGCTGAGGCTGAAGCGCGGCCGGCGGCTGGGGGACGGTCCGGCCCCTCAGCTGCGCGGGCGGCCGCAGTGACAGCCCGGCCCCAGCCCGCCGCCCGCCCTCGCCCTCGCCCTGGCCCTCGCCCTCGGTGCCCGCAGCCACGATGAACCGGGGCAGCAGCAGCCCGTCGGCCGCCGCCAACTACCTGCTCTGTACCAACTGCCGGAAAGTACTGCGGAAGGTACGGGCTCGGCCTGGGGTCCGGCCCGAAAAGGGCGCTTCCTGCCGGCCGCGGCTCGGGCTGCTCGGCCCCGGGGCGCACTCTTGGAGCAAGGCTCAAAGGGATCCCGGGGCACCTTCCCTACGCCGAGACCCAAAAAGGGGGCATGGGTTGAGAGTGGAGGGTTTAGCCTGCTGCTGCTTTTGATGTCTGCCGGGACAGACGCTAGTCCCCAGTGGTTGGGGATTTGGGGCCGCGGGGGGGCGGGGGGACCTGTGGTCTGTTCCTCCGTTCACCTCCTTACCTTGCCACCCCCGGCCTGCTCCCAGGGCGGAGGGAGGGACGGACCTGTTCGATCCTCCTCCCAGTGCTCTTGATGGAGGTCGGTGTGAAATCAGAACTGCTTGGTCTGGTCCAGAGGACCTGGCTCCCTCTTTGCTGTGCCTAACTCTTGCGGGTGTTGTTTTTGTTTATTCGGTTGCTTCTGCCTTCCTTGCGCGCTTTCCCCGAACACTCCCTTTTTACATTCTTTGGATGGTCGTCTTGTGGCTGCAGTTCGATCCTGAAAGGAACTGGTAAAGCAGCTTGAACTTTATGCCCATGGGAAATGCTATTCGACGTTACAGTTTCTCAAGCTGGGGTTGGGGGAGGTGGAGACTGAGGTGGACGTGAGTTATCCCTTTTTAGCACTTACTCATCCCCAGCCCCCCGGTGTTGCTCCAGAAAAATCAGACGCAAAATCAGCTTATTGCTTCCCAGAGTGACTGATAGAAAGTTTACTCCAGTATTGTTTAGCTTACTTGGCTTAGTCGCTCCGTTAAGGGGGGTGGGGTGAGGGGGCTGTGAAAAGATGTCGTTTTAGACGGAGAAAAGCTTTTAATCAGACTTTAACAGCCGCCACTGGGTAATATTATAATCAGTTTATTCTTCTCGAGACTCTATTTTTACATTTCATTAAGTGGAAACAGTAGTTGAGGTGCTTCTGTTTGTCCAGTACAAATGAATTAAAATTGCTGAGCTGTGCAAATGCGTCGGGACTGAAAGACTAAGATGAATACCGCACCGTTTTTAGTCAGTTTCTCTAAATACAGTTCAATTGGGATTGTTCTTTATATATTAAAAAAAAAAAGAAAAGAAAGAAAGCATGTAAGTAAGCAAGCTCAAATATTTGCGCTCTTTGTCCAAAAACTGTTTTTCTTCCTCTGTGGGTCAGGCCAAGTGCCAATCAAAGTTGTTTTTCAAGCCTCTTTTCCCTGCAGTAGGGCTGCTGCTTCCCCCCCCGCCCCCCCCATTTTATTTGAGAGCATGAAGAAAGCAAAGGGGTTGCATATTTGAAGTTAATCAAACAGTGAAATATGCCTTAAATTGTGTTTATCGGATATGTTTTTCTTGAACCAGATTTTTATTAAATGTGCATGTTGAGTATGTGCAGTTATTTTTTTCCATAAACTCTGGGATCAAATTACAGTTGATACTTGCTCAGCTCATTGTAGGGCAGCTCGTGAGAAATGTAATGGATCAGAAGCGCAGAGCAGCTTAGTTGAATGTTAACTCTTTCACTTCTGGGCCAGATGGCATCTGAACTTAGCTTTTTAAAAAATGATGATGATGATGATTTTCCAACTTTAAAAGTGATGTTATGTCTTTAACATGAAAAAAAAAAGTGTTGTTGAGACATGTTTGATTAAACTAAAGCCTGGTTTAAAAAAAACAGCTAATTTTTTTTTAACTGAATAAGGGAAAAACGAGCTGTATTGACGTGGATTTTTTTTTAATGGCTCTGTCAATTTGGTGGACTAATTAAATTTTTGGAGGTAGCAGTAAGTTTCAAAATCTATTTTTCTTTTGAGAGAACCATGGCTGTGGATCCATGACCCTTTGCTAGCTTTCAAGACATCTTTATATCTTTCTCTTAGCTTTTAAGAAACTATTTCTATTTACCTAGAAGGAACATCCTCACTTCTAGCTATTATTAAAAGACAGAGGTAGTATATGGAAAATGGATATTCACCATTTTCATATCTTATAATTGCTATGCACACCTCTGCTAATTCCCAGTTTTCAGTAACTCCAAGGTATTTAATATTGATTCATGCAGTAGCATGAAATAACTTTAGATGGAAATGGGATTGTTTGAGCCAGTTATGGCATGACTTGGCAGACATTTGTAGCTTTTTAAGAGTGCCTTAAGTGCTCTTAAAAGATATCAAGTGTTTAGCATTTTAAGTTCTTCATCATTCTAAAAATAGCATGTAAGAGTTTTGTAATAAAGAAATGGTTTTGTTTTTGATAGAAAGTATATAACTCTAAGCAAAATTCATCTATAACGCTCAAAATGGGATTCTCTGGATTTATCTTGTGTTTTCCACTTAATAAAGTGTTCAGTAATAACCATGTGAGTCACAGCATTTTGAATTTTAGTTCAGTGTAGTTCATGATGGAAGAATGAAAATCATGCACATCCAGTGTGAATTACTCTTTGCTGTTATAATCCTAATTATTGATGGAGGAAGAGTTACCTTTATTTATGTGGCATGACACCTTTTTCTCTAAGTGGCTTAATTTGTTGCAATGTATTGAATTGGGGGGGAACTTCAAAAAGAACTGGATTCACCTTCAAAGAAAATAATTTGGTTCAACCCAACATCTGAAAATTTAATTGTATATTGTATGAGAATTACATTTATTCTTAGAAGTACCTTCATAATTTTGATTCAGTGTCTACCAAAAAAAAAGAGACTTTTTTACGTATTAAATATACCTAATTTGGTAACCTTAGGTCAGTAAAAAGAATGGAGAGGTAAACCACATAGGGAAACAAATGAACAAACGAAACTCTCCTCAAATCTATAACTCCTACTTATTCTAACTTGCTCTGTTATCAAAAATAATTCAATAAAGGTTTTAATAAAAGAGGAAATGTTTCTATTTACTTTGGAAAAGCTAATGAGTTGTGAAGTGTAATACATTTTACTTGAAGAAATTCCACTGACAACTAGATAAATTTCAAAGTGGAGTGCCAAACTGCATTAAGAAAGGTAGGTAACTCTCAGTCCACTCATCTTCCAATAAATAAAAGGGTGCATATTACAATGTATTTTGAGTATTGAGCAGTTAGTGCTACTGAAGTGAATAAAACTCTGCACTTTAAGTTAGAGGATTTACCACTTTATAATTCTTAATATGTTTAGGTAGTTCCAGTGATTTATCTTTGTTGGATATTGCACTTTTTCCCCTTTGCTTATATGATCACTTATTTTGACAACTTTTTGATGAGTGAAGAGACTGGGAAAATAAAATGGGAAGTATTAGTTTAAGCCATATGAACCTCATTTTTATAGTCAAAATTGTCAGTTAATAGCAGTTTTATATGGTTCAACCAAAAGAATCGTATTGCTTTGACTGTGGATGAGTAGCTGTATTTTTCTTTGGTTAATCAGGTTTCTTATGTACATATTTTTGATTGTCAAAAGTAGTTTTTTATTTAGTTTTATCTGAAAATGAACTAGACAGAGACCAAGCAGTGAATTTATGACAGCAAGCCATTATGCAGTGGTTTTCAAACTGCTTTTTACGGAGCCCTAAGATGCTTCAGTGTTCAAAAATACTTGAGTTGGATTAAATTTTAAGTACTTTTTAAAATTATAATTTAAAAATACAACCACCCAAAAATCTCTTGTTACAAGACTATTCTTGTGCAGGCCTTGAATTAAAATTTATTCTGCTCCCTTTGTACATATACTTGAACATTTTTGTTAATAAGACATTGATCAGAAAGATTGTCATTGATTATGAAGGCACTGGCCTTTAAAAAACCTTCCTTCCTGTGCATATCTACTCATGTTCAATTTTCACTTGTGAGAAAAACTTATCAGTAATTGTTCATTTTTAACTAAAACACTTATAAAAATGCTTTTGTGTATTTATGTGTTTCATAGTTCAGATTCAATGTAAGGTTTCATTTGTAAAGGGATTCTACTGCTTCTATAACCTCCCCACCACCAAATAAATAAACTGCTAAAATATAACTGCAAATGTAGTGATACTGGGAGTCACAAGATATGCTCATCATTAGGTTTTTGATAGGTCTTTGAATTTTGGGCAAGTTAGTTCACTTCTTGCAGCCTAGTTTTCTCTGTAAAATGTACATCATTTCTACTTGCCTTGCAGGTTGCTGCATAGCTGGAGAGAGGTAATCTGTGTTAAAGTACTTTGTAAGCCATAAAGTACAACTACAAATATAAGAAAGACAAGTCTATGTATTTTCCCTATTCCTAGAATAGGTCTTTTGTGTGTTGTGGCAATATATTTCAATACATACGGAGTAATTTGGTTAGTCTTCACTTTTCTGTCTTGTCTACTTATTGCCTGTAAGTGAGAGGTAAAGATATTATGCTTTTAATTAGAGTGATCAACATACCGATTTTTATTTGCATATTCTACCCCTCCCTCTCCTTAAATAGTAATCCAATGCATTGATTTTGATGTTTCAAATAATTAAATAAAATAAAATTGCCTTTTGGACACCTCAGCAGATGAGGGATATTGGTATTAAGTTTGAAAAGACTAAGAGTTAAGGATGATGGTGCTTAATAGAAGTTGGGGCAAATCTAGGGTAAAGCAAAGAATGTTTAATTATTTTAATTTAGGAGAAGAGCCTGGAAGTAAAAACATGTCTCAATCTTTTTCTCCCGATTTCTTCATCCTCTTTTTCCCCTTTGAAGGGACTGGGTTATAACTTATGTTTGGGTAGACCTTCACAATTTTTACAGTGCTTTCACATTATTAGTTGATTCTCATAAACTGAGAAAATTTAAAAGGCATGGACTCTGTCATACAAGTCGTATGAAGTCCATTTAATTTTTAATAACACCTCTGTAATAAGCTAAAAACTACATTCGAATTGTCCCCTGTAGTATTGAGGCCATCAGGGAATATCCATCCCCCCCATCCCCCAGCTTCAGCATCTGTGGAATGCCTATAGGTACCTAAAACTCTCCAGGTAACATTAGTTGGAAATGTGACTTTTAGCCACTCTTTGACACATTATTGCAGATCAACTGGAGGGGAAAGAGAAGAGTTAGCTGGCTATTTTTATTATCTCTTTAACAGTAGTTTGGTTAATTCTTTAACGAGGTAAAGCACAGTTCTCAAATATGATCTTCAGACCCTGGGAGTATCCAAGATCATTTCAGCGGGCCTGGGAGGTCAAAACTATTTTCATGATCATACAAGACTTTATTTCTTTTTTCACTGTGCAAAAGCAGCGGAGGTAAAACTGTGCTGGCCCCTTAGTGTAACTCAGGGTAGTGGCACCAAACAATAATCACTGTTAAATTTTGTTAAATCCTGACCCTTGAGTGATGAGAAGTATACCATGTGCTTCTACTGCACAGCAATCTGGTTGTCTCTAGGGAAAGAATCTGTGCAGTTGTTTTAGTTGCAAGCTAAACTAGCCACTTTTAAAATGAACCCCATTTTTACTTAAAAGAACACCTGTTAGGCAAACTTTGGTTTGTCATACTTGGGTATTTGATAACAATTTTCTTAAGATTGAGTAATGTGACCCTGAAAATTTAAGGAAAAACACTGACAATATTTATTGCCAGTGATA